TATATATATATATATATATATATATATATATATATATATATATATATTTAAGAGGTTTGATTTTGCCTGAATCCTCCAGAACAAGTCTTTTTAAAGAGGTTAAACCTCAGTGTGCTATGAGCCATGTAGCCGTGGTAAATTTAACACGGGTCACGTTTGCTCGAGCGGAGATGATTTACTGGCGGTCGCTGCTAATTACACACGTCAGCTGTGTTTTTCTGTGCTGTTGAACAGGAAGCGAAGGTCACCCCACCTGGAAGACATGTCACACCAACTGAAACTGCTCTCGTTGGAAAATTTGATCGTTGCACTGTGACTGCGTGCCATGTTATCTACGAGTCCCCCCACCACCACATTTCTCGCTTTCAGAACTGGATGTTGGTTTCCAGTGGGGTATCACTGGACATTTCTGCTCCGTTTAAGTCACAGTTATAACATGTTGAGTCATTATGGGTGCCAATCTAGTTAATAAAACAAACAAAAAAAATCCCATTTTAAAATCATATTTTTCACTGTATAAGTCACGTTTTTTTGCCTGCCTTGCTACTTATATGTTGAAGCGACGTATTTATGGATTTTTTTCCCCCCAATTTATAAACCAATTTTTGGCTGAGCTATGACAGTTTTCATTCATTGACTGGAAATTTTATTGTTTTCTATTGTATGGGTGTACATATGGTTATGTTATGTTTTTAATTTTACTTTATTTGTGGGTGTACACAGGCTTATGTCTTATGTAATGTTCTCATTTTTACTTAATTTTTACTTTATTTTACTTTATTACTATTTGCACCTTATGTCGAAGCAAATTCCTAGTTTGTGAACCTCGTTCATTGACATGGCGATAATAAACTGATTCTGATTCTGAAAAAAATTAAACAGTACCATTTTCAGCCACTAGATGGCAGCAGAGTAGTAAGGCTGCTGTTGTATCATATAATAGGTAAGTGGCTATAATGACAAATTCAAAAAAGTTCAAGACAAAAACAACTGGACTTTTATTTATTATTATTATACTTTATTTTTTGGGGTCCGAGATGGTGTAGGGGCAGGGCAGCAGAGTTCAATCCCCAGGCAGTGCACATCTCGTGGTGTCTCTGAGCAGGACACCCAATCCTGAATTGCTCCCCGGACATATACATAGCTGCCCACCGCCCCACCTGGGTGTATCTCAGTGCGATGGGTTAAATGCAGAGAACTAATTTTGTCTTTGTATGGGAACATACAATGATGACAACACACAGCACTATATTTATTATTTATTTATTTATACTTTATTATTTTTGTCTTGAACTTTTATTTTAATTTATCTGGATGTTTGAGAATCTTCATCAGCTATTAATGACACAGTCGGCCTGCCACAGTCTGCCATCTTTGTTTTGCTCACTTCTTGGAGCAACCGTCAAACCTGCTTCATTTCTCTGCACCGCCCCGGCGAAATGCAGCTAATTTGACCATTAAAGCGCATTTATTAAGTTAAAGTTCAACTGAGACACACCTTTGCTATTTTCGAGTAAACAAATAATTGTTTTTAAGTGTTACTCTTGTTAAATTCTTGTTAAAGTCTTCACGACTGCGGCAGCCCATCGAATTTTGGCACAGCACCCGCCCACATTTCCAGGTTGTCAGCGGTGACGCGAAACAAATGCAACGCATAATAGATGTGACATGTACGTCGAAGTGACATATTTATGGATTTTTCCACTTTATTAGACATATTTGGACTGATGCGACTTATAGGGCGGTTCTTTGTGTACGGCGAAAAATATGGTAAAACATAAAAATTATACTTCAAAACATCTGGCTTCATCTGGATTAATGTGATGACTTTTAGTAGTGGTACTTTGCATAATGTAGACAAAAATTTGTTTAAAAAATGGAATCAAAGGGATTTTAGCAAAAATACTTCAGAAAACCCAGCCTTCTTTGGAGCTCTATATTCAACCTTTATTTATGTAGGTTAGTCTCACTGAGTCATAAGGACTCATTTACAAGAGAGACCTGTAATGTACCTCGAGCATACAAAACTACCGGTGTTAAAAAGCCATTTGAGGTTTAAATATGTCGCACCAACTTTTGAGCAGTCTGAAAAATGTCAAATTCTTTCAAACCAAATCTTACCTCCTTATGTATTTATTCATTTTGGTAAACTAACAAATGAAACATCAAGATGTGGGAATTGTCCTATAGGATTTATGATTTTCTCTCAAATCTTCACAGAAGATAAAGAAGGCACTCCTAAATTTCCAGTCTTCAGTTATGTTAGAGCCTAAAATATTCTCGTTAAAAGTGGACGTGAAGGATCTTTAACTTGTCAGATCTCCTGCATGAATCACTGCAGAAACCTAAAAATCCACATGTATGAACAGAGTTTTCTGCTGCTCACTGTTATGTGATCCAACTTGTAGTTTTTGCACAGCTATATTTTATAGACTTAATTTTCAGTCTCTTTCTGTCTGCCTCTCATTAACTAGGGAGTGAGACATGTATATGGTTACCACGGTGACCATAATGATCCACTATAGCAGCTTGAACATTTCATTTGGCTCGTAGTTTACAGTTCATACATCATGATGTTAAGAGTTTAGGTTTACAATTTCTTCAGAAACGTAGTTAAAATGTGTTATTTTGCACATTACACTATTAGCTTGTAAAAAAGGGAAACAAGGCAAAGGTCATCCACAGCACATGTCCACTGGCCACGTCACCAGATGACCTTAAACAAACCTCACTTGGCCAGGCGCTGATGGGTTAACTGTTGACAGTTTCAGCTGTGAAATCTCATAAAAGCACCCAAACTACAAAAACAAATGAAATCCCCATCGTCTTAAACAGATCCCGCTTTAATTCACTGGAATCCGTCGTGTAGCGTCACCCTTCGTCTCTTCAACAGGGTCACCCAGTGCAGGTGTTCTCGTTATCCAGATGTCGTACATAAAACGAGCACGTTGTGCCAAGGCCTGTCCGTGTCTTGTCAGCTGCCCTCGATTTACACAGGCGGAAGTATTTCTTGGAGTAATGGATGGGAATTATGTGTGCTCGCCAAGTGCTTGCGATGCTTGCATGTTTTAGCTATCAGAAGATAAGAAGAGTCTTTATGATTTACAGAGAGCGTGGGAGTGAGACATCTTTCCAGAAAGACATGCTTTACTTTTCTGGCTTCTGTTAAGTAGTTTTTTTTTTTTTTTTTTTTTGGTGCAAATACAGATTTAACTCATGAACGGAGAGCCTGGTGTCTCGAAACAGAGGAAATTTGGGAATTTTAAACAGATTTCGCCCAGTACCACTCAGATTTGATTAGAGGTTTTGTGTGTTTTGCAGATATTGCGGTACTGTAATGCTAAACAGCTGGTTATCTTAGCATGAAGGTATTTCTAGCCTAGCTTTGCTCAAAGCTAATGATGTCACAATTGGTTCAACTGCACACAAAACAATATGGAAAACTTTTTAAATGGTCTTCCATGAGCCTCCATATTTATAGATGACTGTCTTCTTTTTCACAAGAATGTAGTCCAGAAAATAAAAATAAAATGAATTGAACTACTACCACATATTTATGCGTCATTTAGCCACATAATTCTCTGGCCATGATGGATGGCTGGCTGGATGGATGGATGACGCCGCACAGGCAAAATGAAGCTGTTTTGACCATTAAAGTGCATTTATCAAGGAAATGTTAAATTGAGACACACCTTTACTATAATTTCGAGCAAACAATTTAAGTGTCAATCTTGTTAAATTTCTAAGAACTGCAACAGCGAGTCCTCCCATGTGCACGCTCGCTTCACTCAGCTGGTGCAGATGGAAGAACGCTGGAGCGCTAGCGGCTCTGGCCGCGATGGATGGCACTGTGCCGCCCAGGCGAAATTAAGCTGTTTTGACCATCAAATAAACACATAATAAATGTGATGGATTAGCAGTGATGTATACCGTATTTTCCAGCGTATAAGTCGCTCCGGAGTATAAGTCACATCAGTCGAAAAAAAGCATCACGAAGAGGAAAAAAAACATAAGTTGCTTCGGCCTATAAGTTGCATTTATTATGCGTCACCGCTGACCTGTTGTGTTTATTAAGAGTTTATTTAATGGCAAAACAGCTTCATTTCACCTGTGTGGCGTGGCGCCATCAATCCATCCATCGCGGCCAGAGCCGCTAGCTCTCCAGCGTTCCTCCGCCTGCACCAGCTGAGTCAAGCAAGTGCGCACATGGGAGGACTCACTGTTGCAGTTCTTAGAAATTTAAAGTGTTACTCAAAAATTGCATTATGAATATGAAAAAAGCCCACGTATACTTAAGTCGTTTTGGCGTATAGGTTGCAGGACTGACAAATCTATGCAAAAAAACTTGCGACTTATACGCCGGAAAATATGGTACGTGTGCAGGGAATACAATGCAAACTTTCTCTGTAGTAGATAGAACTAACTTGTAATGCTGATGTAGTGAAGATCAGTGGGACAAAATCAGTTGCAACATGTTTATCCTCCTCATGCAAAGGTGAAAGTGACGGTCCGCTCTGACGTGGTCTTTAGGCTGAGACGGAGGAAAATAACCTAATTAGTCTGATTTATATACTGCCTGTCACTTCCACTCAGCTCTCACTCGAATCAAAATTGATTCTCAGCAGATAAAAATAGCCCAGTGACCATGTTCATGAGGCCAGGTCAGAGAAACCTTTAAATGGGTCCTCGTTTCCTACTAACCCA